ATATATTTTTAAAGATTTATTGTTGCCTTTAGCAGTGAAGAATAGACAGTACGGAGCCCCGCAAGGGACATGGGAGAAAAAATTAAGATCAACTTTTGCGAGATCTTGCAAAATAGACTGCATCCTTCGCAGGTCGCATTTGAAGGCCGAGTCCTTTGTTACCCAACTTATCCCAGAATTCATAGCACGGCCCAGCCAATTCGTTTCTAACAATGGCGGCAGCTACTTATTTTTGCTATTACTCTTTCTCGGTTACAAAATAAACTTTTAAGATATTTTCAGGCGTGAATGTAGCTGTGTGAATTTCAAATATCTGCTCGGTTTATCAAGACATCACATATTTCCAAAAGTGCTCCGACGTTTTCGGAGACGTCGAGGCCCACTACAGCCGGGGGGAACACCGCACTCCTGGCACATCGTGCCTCAACCTCCCGGTTGGCTTTGAGCTGGCAGCCTCCGAAGGATGCGCCCAAAACATTTGCAAGATCTCGCAAAAGTTTTGCAAGCACCATAGAGTTTATGGTCTGTATTTACATGATAGCACGGCTTCTGCAGATTTGTCAACTATGCATCCAAATCTCCCATTCCAGAACATCCCAAGGTGCTCTATTAGATTGAGATCTAACCACTATGGAGCTCATTTGTACAGTGAACTCTTTGTCCTGCTCAAGAAACCAGTCCTAGGAGATCTGAACTTTGTGAGATGGTGTGTGCTGCTGGAAGCGACCACCAGAAGAGAGGTGCTAGGCTACGGCATTCAAACAATGCTCATCTGAAACTAGAGTAAATATCCAGTGAGTTGTGACCATACCATATGAATGTTGCAGCAGAAATCCAGAACCATTAGGAAACATTTTTCTAATCTAAATGTACGATACGAGTGTGTAACGGTCCTGGGTGGGTGACCCAGTGTTTTAATTATTGTATTATTATTATTATTATTATTATTCTTGTTCCCTGGTCAGTCGTGTCTAATGTGACTCCTGCCTCTGTGCTCCGTGTTCCCTTTGTTTTGTGTCAAGTCTGTGTTTCTGTGTTTTTCTTCCTGTTTTACTTTTTACTTTGACAGTGCTTTGTCTTATGTCAGTGTGTCTAGTTTTGCTTCACCCTGGTCTCGTCATGTTGATTGTGCCCAGCTGTGCCGCCCTCATGTGTCTCATTTCATTGTTTCCCTCAATGTATTTTAGCCCTGTGTTTCTCTCTGTCAGTGTCACGTTGTCCCCTTACTGTGCTATGTGTTTCTCCTTCCCTGCTCCCTGAGATCTTCATCCCTAGTTTCCAGGTTTCCCAGTGTTTTTGTTATTAGTTCCAATTTTGTAGTTTTGTTTTGTTTTTGCAAGTTTATTGTTGTGAATATTATGCAAGTGCAATAAAGCAGCCTCTTTAATTTATTCCTCCATTGAGTGTTTTGCGTTTGGGTCCTACATCCTGCCTGCCACACAGCTGTATCATGAATGATTCAGGGAAGCTCACTTATGTCTGATGACAGTGATACTAAAGTGAGTTGTTGAGGATATCCTGAACCCCTGAATCCTTCTCCTGAGTCGCTAATCGCTGATTAGATATTTGCAATAGCAAACAGTTCAACAAAGTGATTAATGAATTTATACATCTATACTCATGCATTGTCAGGGTTGGGGGAGGATGCTCATACTTTCTGACTTGAGAGGAAGTCCGACTGGGAACTTCTGATTTCTAATGGAACAAACCATCTTTACTGACCTGTTTTTTAAAATGCTGGTAAAAATCGACTTATGTCTTTAACCCAGTGGTGCCAGCCGTGGCACTCCTGCAAGGTTACAAAAATTGAGAGGTGTAGGACCGGTGCAGCTTTTGCCATGCCACTCATGAGGGCAACAGTGGTGAATATAATGGGCCCTTAAAGCCTCTTAGATTTCATTCATTCCAAATGATCCAAGGTTGTAGAGCTCGTTTGTGAACTTCAAATTAAAAGCCCAGAAATTAAAGTCACTATGAAGAAAAACAGCAAAAAAAGAGGGCTTATTATCTCTATAATCTCATGGTTTTCATTTAATAATTACCAAGAAGCTGGCTTTACTTTCAAATTTGAATCACTGTATCTTCGCTGCCACTGATGCTGAAATTAGTAATTGCTGCAGAGAAATACAATTTGGTACATTTAGTACATTTTTAATAGATTTTTACCCCTCAAAAAACATTGTGTCTTGAATTAAACAAATTGTAATTGAAACAGCAATGTTTTCCCAGCCTTAAATTGTGTCTTTTTAGCTTACCTACCTCACTTGCTATGATTTAAATGGGGTTTAGATATCAACATTATCTCACACACTATACTCAACTTAGTACAACAACAAAGGTTGTCAATCATGCTGTTTTCATGCTAATGTTTTCTCATCCCAGTGCTACAAACATTACTGGTTGAAGTATTGTTGGTAGCAACAGATTTTAAACACAAAAACACATCTATATAAAACATCACTGAAAAACCTGCATATTATTTTATCTACCCGTAGAAATAAGTGTTTTTGTAAATTTGTATCTTATCACATTTATTAATATGCCAATATTACTCTTCTTCGTAGTTGCACTGACTATGCTACAGTCAGTAATCATAGTACCAGAGTATTATCAGACCAGCTGAGGTGCACTGACTGTGCTGCCTATGCTACACTGTATTAATGAGGACATTATTAATGAACATGTAATAATGCTCCATTCTGAACAATATTGAGAGTTTTGCAGAACAACTCTGAATTTCACAGCTTTGTGGAAAATAAATGAGGCTTCAGTTCATGAAAACAGGAATCTGGGAGTGAAGCAGCGGGCAGATGCAGTAGACAATGGCCTTTCATTATAAGTCTAATAACTATGTTCGCTTTTTGAGCACAAAACAATTACACCTCGGGACGTGTGGATGCATTAGTGGTAATTAAGTCTTCAGACATGTCAAAATATTAATTTGTTC